GGTTACAATTTAGACACACGAAAAATACCGAAGACGAAACAAATATTGTTTTACTAAATTATTCACACGATTGTTATAAAATGAAACATTTTTGAAAGTTAGCGACTACTGTTGTAGTAAAAATAAATGTCGATGAACTTATAACTTACAAGGTCTATTTATTTATCGTTAAACCGTATTAAATTATGATAAAAAGATACTCTCAATCTTCTAGAGGTACTTTTATCCTGTATTAATAATTTATATTTTTTTTTACTACAGTTTAAATATCAAAGTAAATTATATAAACAACAAATGTTCACGTTATACTTGCATTTCCTAAATGTAGATAAGTGTGACACTTAGAAATAAATTATTTATGATAATTTTTAACAGCTTAATTAGTAAAATGATATTTTTTAATGAAATATAATAAAATATTAAAATGTGTGAATTAAAATGTTCAATCTTATAATACTTTATGAAAAAATTAAAAATAAATAAGATATCTATTAATTCAATGTAAACACATAGTAAAGATACCTTATAAAAGCTTACACATAAAAATTAATGTGAACTAATTTATTCGAATAATTTTTAAATTATGAATTTTTTAGTTAATTTTATGGTTGTTATCATTTTTACTTTTAGCCTTAATAGTGAATAACCCAATACTATATTATAATGAAAATTAAGTAACCAAAATATTATATTAATATTTACTTTTGTATTAAATATGTAAATTATATGTCTGATAGTTTATTACTATTTATAAATTAACAACAGATATTAAGTTAAATCAATGATAATTATTTAAAAATATAATCATCAAATCAATACATGTCGTTTATCTTAAATACTGTAGTATTTGATATTGTAAATTAATATTTTTAGTTCCGTTAAAAACTTTCAAAAACCAAATTATTCAAATTAGATATCTACGTCATATTCGTAAACAAAATGATTAATATTAGCTTTTTAATGCAATTGAGTTAAAAGTTACCCTAAGTTTATTTCAACTATTTTATGTGCTAACCAATAAATACATAAAATAGGTTAAACTAAAAAAAGAATTCATTCGCGACAATAATCTCAAATAAATCATGGCATTTATTTCAAAAGTTTATTTTATTCTATTGTATCACATTATTTATTAGCACTTATACGTATTTATCACAAAAATTATCAATTACATTCATATCTATATCAAATACAGTAGACGCAGCTTATAAGACTCACTTTGGGACCAGCACAAAGTGAGTCTTATAACCGAATAAATCGTATAGGCGAAGTGGAAAAAAAAATTAATTACGTATTTATAAATTTTATTTTACTACATATTTTGCTTTGATTTTAATACATTAACACATATTACATATTACATACTTTATTATTGAATAAATTTAATAATTCCGATAAAAAAAACTAAAATTATATTCGTTATAATTATCGTTGCGATAAATGTGAACTTTTATCTGCGATAAAAATTATTATACGTTATAAGGTACCAACAGAAACTAGAAATAATCAACAAGAATATTATTTCATTTTTCAAAACCAATTTATTTCTAAATTATAACCAAAAAAGTTTATTTTCTACTATTTATTTTACTGAATTTGAGTCTTATAACCGAAGTGTTGAGTCTTAAAACCGATTTTTTTTAATGTATTTGGATACGTCCGGACCGTTCCAGACGATTTTGAGTCTAATAAGCGACTGAACCTTATATCCGTGAATCTTATAAGCGGCGTCTACTGTATATTTAAACTTTTTAAAAAATCTTATTATTGTTCATCTAATTTTATTGAAATATTTTTAAATTTTAAATTTGAGAAAAACAAAAATGAAAAAACCAGTTTTTTTTAGAATTTTTAGTTTTAAACATTGCAAATTATTTTGTAGTTAAAATTTATAAAATTTTTAATTTTAATAACATTGACTTGAACGTGTATTATAAAGTTCCTCATAAATTATTCAAACATTTCAAAAAGATAGTTGTCGTATAATTTTTGTATACATATTTTAAGTTCAAATGTTGACAAAATTATATTTTTAAACAGAAAATCAAGGTTTTACTTATTTTGTTGAAATACTACAATTACTATTCATTCAGATTAAAATCTATATTCTATTTCATACATTATAAGTTATAATAAACTATAAACATTGACATTATAAGTATATTTAAAAATGGTTTTAAGCTATTCCATCAAAAATGTATTTGTTGTTCTACGTATAGTTTATCTGTACTGATTTATAAATTATAACAGCTAGATAGTAATATTTTATGAAATAATATTATAGTAACTGTTTTATAAATTACTATGTTATTTGTTTTAAACAAAAATTCGATATAATTATTTTATTAGTTATAATTATAATTGAGTTTTTTTTTTTAAATAAATTTTAAATAAAATAACATTAAGTTCTACAAATTATCATACGTTTACATGTTTTCAGACTTATTTGCATACTCATTTCTCCTCTTCAATTATTTTTAATGAATACATTCAATAAAATACTAAAATTTAAAATGTTTAGGTACTTTACATAAATAATTTATTTTAAATTACTATAACTTTATAACATACACCATGTAGAAAGATAAGATAGTAAACAAAGTTATTTCATATGAAATTTCCGCCATCAGTTTACATTGTTATTTTTATATTTTATAAATATTTAGTTCCGATATTACTCGTATATTATGATTAAATTTACCTTATCTGTGATTAGAACTTTTTTTTACCTTTAATTAAATTTTACATTTTAACATTTTCTCTACAGTACTAAGATTAAGAAAATGTGTATTCATATTTTTATAGATAAGTATTTTCATTGGTTGTTTATATATATTTAAATCCATTTAACTAAAATTAAAAATATTTTTGAATTTTTTGGTATTAATGGTTTTATTTTTATACATTAATTATAAATTAATACATTTACAGTTTAAAATCAAAATAATCTAACACTATAATAATAGTAATAATACTCATAATACTATAATTTCTTTTATATTAATTGTTCTAATAATATTATACACAGATAAGAACAATATATTTTTTTTATGTGATCCACACACTAATTAAAAAAAAAATTGATTACATTTTTATTTAACCGAGTTGTTATTATTTTCCTTATTAACTTTTAACTTATTTAATATAACCTAACTTAAGTTAAATATTTTTAATAATTTACTCTCCTTTGTATATGTGAAGTTAGGTATAGGTTGCTACCTGTTGCAATACATATATATAATTATAATTCAAAACTAGGTAAAGAAAACATTTATGTTTTAATATATAATGGCATTTATTATTATTTTCTTGCTCATTAAATATTAGTAGGTCAACAAAAATTATGTACTTACATATAAACTAGGCTATATAATGGCTCGTATGATATAGATAAAATAAAAGACGAAAAATGATTCTTCGACAGTGATCGTTATCGATAATTGGTCGTTGAATAGTGCACTGGTATGAATAAATTTGTTTTATTTTATTAATATATACTGAAAGTAAATGGAAATAGCGCTAAAATCAAACGGTTTTCTCGACGTTGGATATCTGTAGGAAGGACTGGGATACTCTACTGAATAATGCTCATCCAATCCGTTAGATAATTTGGTTTAGTTACCAACATGAAATACTGGAGTGTTGTTCACCGTATAATCAGGTACAAAATACAACAGGAGTAAAAAATGCATTCAATTTATGAAAAATTGCTTTAGTGCATTCGATAAAATTTTAGACCAAAATTCTTCGTGCTGCGAATGAAATACACATCAAGTAACATGCTCCATGTTTTTTTAAAACTTAAAATTATATTTATTCTTTTATCAGAAAATATAAATAAAATATTTTTACTCATTTCTCTAAACTATCTCGAGTTATGTCTATTTGTTTTTATCCTTAATACCCGTGACACTCTCTAAAAAATGACTATATGCTATTATTTTTGTGATTTCAAAAAATTTTCAGTCGCGCGATTTAGTTAAGCGTCGAAAATTTCTTTTTTCAACATTTGAACCCATTATACGCAAGTACCATAATTTTTTTCCGGCTTTTAACCTGTTATTTATATCGACTGCAACCACCATTCTACGAGTAGATAGTATCTATTGTAAAAATAAATAACAAAACCACTCGCACAGTTACCGTTTAAAGTTTTAACATCAAATAATATATTGTATAACAATAATATTTTCCCGGAACTGTGGACATAACTCAGTCATTCTACAAAACATAATTATGTAATACCAAAATCAATACAGTTAAAAATCACTTGAAATAAACCATAGGGCACTGAGTATCGTGATCAATGAAAGCTGCGAGTATAAACTCATAATTATATACACAAAATACTATTTTCGATTTTACATCTGTCTTGAGCACCGCGTTTAAAATATGTTTGCCCTCAAACACGAATATTTCGCATATTATTTTGTCCACAATTGAGGTTGGTAAAAATCATTCAAAAGTACCTTAACTTAAACAAACTCATGATACTTTATTCTATCAGTATAAAAACGTTCAGCACATTTTGTATGTATTTTTATTATTATTATAATTTTTTTTTTTTGTTGTTTGTTTGTTTTTGATGTTGCAAAATTGTTTGACGACATCTTTTTCTATCGAATTATATATATATATAACCACCAAACAATAAAAACTATAGTTTATTATTCATAGTACAACTATACACATTCTTAAATTCCAGGCACTGCAATGAGTACAGCGTGTACCTTGATCAAATCTAAAGTTAGGGGCGGTTCCTTTAAAGATGGCAAACATCAACAAATATCATATTTACTACGAATAAGACAAAAATCAAAACGAAATGAAAATATTGTTTTGTACCTATCAACAAATTGAATGCGGAGGTTGACTCAATATAGCGTGCAAGTCTGTATCATACCAAATAATATCATCGATCGTCATAACATTAACAAATTGTGATCCTGCAGGTCGTAAACCGTCGTGAAGTCAACAAAAAATATCAACGATGCGTTTACCTGTGTCCAGACAAATTCCCATAGTCCCATTCGCCGGGTTTCACTTCGAACGGCACGACTCGCTGACCGCAGGCATCACGTCTACGGTCGCCCTGTGTACGCGCGGACAACTAGTCGGCCTTTGGTCTTACGTGCGAAGTTCCCAGCGGATACGGATGGACACTGGACGCACGCCGGCGTGTGTGTCTAGTTTAACCTGGTTCGCTGGGATCGCACATGTCCAGATTTTGTCGCTTATTTCGGATATGCGAATAGCGCGCTGTTCTGATAACGGTACTGCGGTAGTGGTATGACGACTCGGAAGCGAAACACGAACGGCAGCTGTCAGATTAAATAAAGGTACCACCTATGGAAACTATACGATTATTATTATTATTATTGTTATTATCACTAGTTTAGATACCGTAACAATATCGTTATGTCGTTTGGACGATCGGCGGCGAACGTTGACGGACGGACACTGGCTCGGCGGGTACGTGTGTATGCCTACCTACCGACTTTTTATTTGTATAGCGTAATTATAACTCGGTCTTGACCGTACCGCGTCACCCGCGAACGCCTATCGTCGGCAGCCCGCGCCATTGCGCCCTCAGTGACCGATGCGCCCTCAGCGACCGATGCTTTGTGTTCATGACGTCGTCGCGTCGTACAAAAAATAAAAATTGAAAAATAGATAACCGGTCTGTGATTAGAATATCTCGCCATTGAGTTAATTAACCCGTTGGCGTGAAAAGAAGGGATTCCTAGACTTTGTGCACCCCCAAAAAAATAGTCTTTTTTCTATTACATTTTGATTATTGTGAAGTAAAATATGTAATCAATTAAATAACAATTTTTTTCTGTACCTGCTATACGTATATTGAGGATTATAGGTGTCAGTGTAATGTCATTCCATACAAAAAATGATGAAGACTGATGATAAACTGAAAAATCATTTACATCATTGCAAAATCAATGCACTTATTACTCTGCTCAAAATCTAAAATTGAATACTTTAAATATTTTCAACACTCTTATGACAATTTTTTACCATAAAAAAATAATATGTAATATAGCATGCTAAATTTAAAAAAGTGTTTCAGTTAAAATTTAAATTAAATCAATCTTATTGTAATTCAAATATATCACCCCTTAATTTATCTTTCCTCGACACTCAAACTCAATGCGTATTCTCGTGTTTTCTTAGCATTCATCTATAAATCATGAACTCATGTAGATAATATATTATGTATCATCATTATTTAATTAAATTATATTTATTCTTTATATTTAGGTATTTTTTCAAATAATAATACACCATAAATTATGTTAAGTAAAATTGCTTTACATACAGGCTACCAAAATAACTGCAAAAAAAAACATAATTTGTTCTGAAATGAATGTGGTCACTATAATATAAACGCACTCAATGAGATAGCCCATAAAGATTTTTTTTTTCTTTCTTCAAAATTTGAATTTAATCAAATTATTCTTAGAATATTGTCTTAAATGTAAAAATAAACTTCCTATTCATATTTCTTGCAAAACTCTTAAACGAATCGATGAGTGACTTGGTAATTCATTTGCCTTTCGTTTTTTATGTATTATACTCTGATCAAGTAGGAAAGACAGCTCGGTAACAAATAATTATTGTCGATTAGTAGTCATGCAACACCAATTTTTTATCACCCTCGGGCACCAAGTCAACCATCTATATTTTGTAATTATAACCTTATAAATCATGCTCCTGTGCATAAGTCAGCTGTCAAACTTTTCATTTTCGATTGAATAGAATAAAAAAATAAATACTCAAATTTTTTAACTTAACTTTGGGGAATGGCAATTAAAATCAACACCCAAATTAAATATTTAGGCCTGATCGTAGACAAACGCCCATCTGGGGACCACACTTAAAAACAACAAAGAAAAAACTCAACAGTAGACTACACCTTCTCCGTCCTATACTCAAATCAAATCTTTTCCTTTAAACAATAAAATAATTATTTATAAGTCAATGTTAAGGCCCATTCGGGCTTACGGAATACTCGTACAGATATGGGGCTGCACTAAACCATCCTAAACAAAAACAATTCAAGCATTTTAATCCATTACTCTTCGTTTACTAACGTATGCATCCTGGTATGTTTTTAACAATTCACTCCACAATGATCTTAAAATTAAAACCATAACTACAATTACATCCAACCACTGCAAAAATTTTCACTCTAAATAAGCCACCCACACCAACCCACTTATGATCAATCAAGGCAGAGTCAACCTACCAAATAATCCCACCCGGCGATTAAAAAGACGATGTTGCAGGGATTTACTTAATCCCTGATCATAATTTTTCTGAGGATTCTGATCACTGGACAGCCTCCCTCTTCATATTGTAATATTTTGTAAATATTGTCCATATTATATCTCATTTGCTTATTATACGAATTACAGATTGTAAATTTTCTATTTTAATTATAAAAAAAAAGTTTTTTACTCTTTTTGAATGACAATAAATATTTTTAATTTAATATCTTAAAACGGGACATTATTCAGAGTGTTTCAATCTATAAAAATTGAATATCAAACAAATAGTTTATTGATCATGATTTTTTAAAGTTGAAATGAGCGGAAAAGTGAGCCAACATTTTACAGAATACTCTGCTCTACTTGACTAAATTATAATAATACAATTTATACTTATAAATCATTAGCTATTCGTCAAAAATTTTATTTGTATACATCGAAGTACTCCAAAACATATTATTGGAATAAAAAATAAAAATGCGTTTTTCCATTAAAGAAATAAATAAAAAATATAAAATATAACATTTAAAAAATGTTATTTCTTTACTGACTTATAAAATTATGTTTAAAAATATTTTCAAAATATTAATAATTTAAAAAATAATAATTATTATTATTATTAGCGTTTTACGTTAAATGGATTATTCGATATAGCAGGACATGCTATATTCTATTACTAAAAATACTTTATAAATAAAAAATCAAACATAACAAATATTGTCAAAAGGAACTCGCAATGATATATTATAATATCATATCTTTACATTATGGTTGTTTCAAGCTGCCCAAATTATTGGTAAGTATTGGTCATAATGGAACATTGATATGTCTATCATATTACAAGGTACATACTTATGTTATTTTAAACGTCCTTGAATTTAATCTGATAATGTAAATTAATTTATTCCAAAAGAAAATTATACATGATATGTCACATTTTATTATTTATTATAGGGTAGGTACCGATATTTGATACCGATCAAGGCGAAGAGTGTATTAGTATTAATGTTTTACTAAAATATGTTTATTTAATTTTTTGTTATAAAAAAGGCTTGGATTTAATAAGTCAATGACCCTTATCAGAGTTCATTCATATGAATAGATAAGTGGACCTAATCACAATAAAAAAATTGTCTATGAACATTTTTAAAAATTAGGTATTTTATAAACATTGTTAGTATGAAAATATAAATATTGTTGTCGTATTAATTATTAAAAACTTTTTCCAAAAAAAAAATGGACCAATAATTATCCCGATATATTTTAGACCACATTATATATCTTGTATATGTATCTATATTAATCAGTTTGGGAACTTAAAATTATAAAATTTCATACCAATACATATCAATATTTTTAAATGTTATGATTTTTGTGGCATACAAATCATGCAATATATTATGTATATTATATGTTCATTATTTGTACATCTGGTGAAATAAAAATGTTAACCTTTTATTTTATAAATTATTTTGATTTAATGCTACGGAGAAGTACATTTTTAAATTTTATATTATTTATACCCAAACCTTAAAAAACCTACTAATAAGTTCTTAAAGGACTTAATATTTTTATAATTTCGGTGTATTTAAATAACTATTAATTTCTATAGTTGAGGTTTGAAATTTTTTTAAATATTTATTTATTTCAATGGTATATTAGTATATTACCTATTAATATAAAAGTAGTATAAAGTCATTTTTTTTATAATTTGACTTCAACTTTAAATAAAAAATCAACATGAAACATGGACTGCTTAGTGCATAATTCAATAAATTTTAAAATTTTATTACGCTGTATACTTTGTCTAGTTTTATTTAGAATATTAAGGAAAAATATATGTAAATTCGTAAAAATCAAAGTCATTAAAGTAGTTATAAAATCAGTATATTTTTTATAAATCAAGAACAACGTTAATAATAGGTACTAACACAATATATTATTAAAATGCGCACGATATTTTGAGTAATTTTACACATTATATTTTTGTAATTTCGTTATATTTTAATTCTCTAAAGAGCTTAGTGCATTGACTGTAAATAATTATCTCTTAATATTAGCGTGTGAATATACATGCAATGAATAGAGAAAAACAATAGACACGTTTTAAACATATTTAAACTGTTCGTGTGGAAAATATGTATCTATATTATAAAAGCATGTTATTAAAATAATAAGCACTGTTGCGCAGGTTAATTATTAAATTGCTAGTTATAAAAATATTATTTTTACAAAAACATACAATTATGAAAACAGAGCTTTTATTGTAAAGCAAAATTTTTATCATGTATAAATTGATTATTTATTTCCTAGTATATTTTGACTTATAAATGTTGATTTCCGATTGCCAGGCTTTTGGACTTTTCACTACCAGATTAACTCTGTTCAGTCAGTTTATGTTGAGATAAGTATCCGTTAAGTATTACACTTACTGCATCTTGTTGAAGTTTTAAAGAAACAATAATTTTAAAAGTATTCTCTATGTCTATTTTAGGTATTAGATATCAAGATTTGATAATATACTATAACTTCAAATTTAAACATTTTCAAAATTATAAATAAACAACATACCATAACTAAAAATAATAACTACGCCTTTTAGTTCAAAAAATAAATCTGAAAAATCTGGTCATAAACTTAACTCAAAAATGTTGGAATTTAGTAAAATTGATGTAGGTATGTCAATAATATATAATCAATATATTACCTAAAATTAAATACATAATTAGTCAAAATATTGTAAAAATTATATTATATTTTTTTTTTTTTTTTTTGATTTACAATATTGATTTTTTTCTTTTAAAGTTTATCATAAGTTTCGTGGTTTTGCTATTTTTCCGCGGATTTTCCTAATGATTACATAAAAAATGACCTTTAACTAAAATATCAAATTAAAAAATAATGAGGTCATACAAAACTTTTAGAATACCGTTCCTAATAATATAGCTGAAAGATGATAAGAGATAAGTCATAGTAGTAAAAAAAAATAAAAACCTATTATAAATTAAATCACATTATCACATACTTAACCTCCCTTTCCTTTTCAAATAGAAACCTAAAAATTTAATCAAACAATCTTGTAAATTTGAATCAAATCATTAGAGTATAAACAAATATATTTAGATGTATAATAGCACTACGCATAAAATTACATTCATACCATGTATAGCATACATAAGTTACTCATTAAAACTATTCAACCTGGAATTTGTTAAATACCTACCTATTTTTTTTTATTTTAGTAAGTCTCTAAACCAATTAATTTTAAGTTTTCAATACATTTTACCAAAAAGTGATATAGAAAATAATTTTTTAATTAGTGAATTACGGTGAGAGTTTAAATTGACATTTAGAGTAACAATATAATTTGACTAATTGTTAAAGGATAAGATTTTTTAGGTCCTGATGAAAATTTTTCTTGGTAAAATACTAAGAAGAAGATGTTATTTTTTGTAAAGAAATAGATTGATATAAAACACCCAAAGCCGTTTAGTTTTAGAGGACTTCCCAAAACCCCATGACTAAATACCACAGTCCATGCTACAAGTCGAATTATTGTCTATTAATTTGTCAATGGTAAGTGTATAGATGGAATAAGTTTAAATGTTAAAAAATATCTTAGAAAGTGGAGTTTAAAGCTCACTGTTTTATAGATAAAAACCTAAAATATATCAAATTAATGAAGAATAAAGAATCTATACTAGTACAATTCTTACATACTTCCCTCCAAATCAAAAATTATAATGCCAGAATTTTAAATGTGTGATATTTAATATTACGACCGTGTTATAAACTTAAATTATTAACATTTTTAATTTGTAATCGAAAGTGCACAAAATAAGTGATATTGTGATATTTTTTAACATCATAATTTACCTTTTAACGATTGTACATAATATACATTATACAGTATAAGATTTATTTATCATATCAATCTTATCTATAGCCTGGTAATGATTAAAAACGGTCTGCAAACATTTTTGCATCAATTACTAAAATACATAAATTACATCTTTGTATTAGACACGAAAAACATTTCTATGAGGAAATTGATCACCTGACTATAGTTTTAAGAATTTTATTTTTAATAAATGTATAGTCCTAAAAGTAATACAGTGGTTAATTTAACTTTCCGCCAAAAACTAATCGCATTTATCATAATATAATACTAGAAGCTTTTATTAATTTATAAGGTCAATACTGGTTTACAGTAGAATGGTGTGATTAAATTCTTGGTATATATTTAGTTTAAAATCAATATTTACATTTTAAAAATGTCATTGTAAATAATAATATTCGTAGTAGCGAAAAGTGACAAGTTCCAACGAATCATATTTTTTAAATTACAATAAAATAACTGTAATTTTTATTTTTTGTTAAAATATTAGCCGATTTAGTCGACATTTAAAATTAAAATGTCTATAAAACAAAATCTTGCATATTTATTTTTGAAATCTTTAGATGTCTATGAGAAAAACTTACGAAAAAACTTGTATTATATTCCAAATTGAAAATTTTATAGATTTTTAACCAAAACATAATTTACAAATTTTCGTAATTTTGATGAATTTCATTGAAATTTTAATCTTGAATAGTTTTAAATAAAATTACGAATGTTATATATTTTAAATTTATTTATTTTTAGTAAGAAAACTTACGAAAAATCTTTTACTAAATTTTCAAAATTTTGAACTAACAAACATATAGTTTTTTTTTTTTTTTTTACTAATTGTTTTGTTTTAAAAATAATCGGTTAATTTTACTTTAAACTACTTTCACACATACCAAAGTATAAACTAAATTCAATTTGCTACCAAAAAAATTAAAAGTATCTCTTGGGTTCGGATACAAAAATAAAAATCATGATTAAACATCACGTATTAGACATTTATTGCTTCGCTCGAAACCTTAAAATAGTTAAGAAAGTAACTATCTCCGTCCTCGCCGTCCTCAAACTTCAGCCAATGAACATATCTAAATAATTTTTATGCTTATCGCAATAGTGTATAATATCGTAATATGACGTATTTATCCACAAGTACGATACACGTGTACTATTTATAAACTACACAATACACATATTATATTATTATTATAATTAGCGACGAGTCTTAGATCTCAATTTAATTTTTTTCAATATGTTAGCGATAATCAAACGTTTCTGGGATGACGGTAATTTATTATGACTAAGCACTAATTTACATTAATATTACTTGTTCGCAGATGATAAGAAAATAATATCAACTGCGCGTGTCCAAACAACAAATTATTATTATACTATACGCGTACGCGTGTGTAGAATACACTAAACACCTTCTACCTACAATTATTAAAACACAACATATTATTTTCATCATTGACATGAAATTGCATTTAAAGTGCACTAGCTGAAACTAATTCGAACGTGTTCTCGGTCGATTAGCTTACAGTTTATTGCACCTGTTAATATTAATTATTATTATAGTGTTACCATGCAGTATAATATTATTATTTATTTATTTATTTATAATAATTATTGTTCAACGCGATATTTGTATTTGTTTAAATTAAACTAATACCTATATATATATATAAGTACTTATATTGTATCCTTGGTTTGTAAACAATTTGTGAGCAATAACGTTGAAAATCGTACGCACTATTAATAATTTAATATACGATGATGGTTATAACTTCGATTTTCATGACAAAAAAATCTCGTGATCAGTGTTTATTGGTGGTCAATTAACATTACCATATTCTACCAATATCCCTATTATACGGTTAGGATAACCGAACGACTGTTTCGAAGACATAAAAATATCAATCACGTCGCAGTCCATAGAACATTGTGATCCTATATTTTTTTTTTTCAATTGTTATTAACTATCAGTTCTTTTTTCAAATTTAGTAAATTAATTGCGTTTCGTTATATTATGTGATAAATTAATTTATCATTATACAATGTCATCAAATGTATAAATTGTACACAATATGGTATAGATTGTAAAAACAGTATTTTTAAACGAACAATAATAGTATAAAACAATATATTGACATTTTACAGACGCAGATCAAGAGGGACATTAAAAGTGTTATAATATATTACACATGTTTTTATAATAGTTCATACGTCTTAAAAATCCATGAATTTAAAATATAAAAAATAATATTAATATTGTTGTTAAATCTTATCTAATCTATTGCATACTAAAATTATAATTAAACCTTTTCTGAAATAAATATAGCCCCTCACCATTTTAGATTTCTTGATCTACGCCAACTACTATTTTTACTTAATCGGTATAGGTAATATTCTCATATATTATTTATAAGAAAAATATTGATTGATATACATATTTCAATATGCTCTACGAGATTCACCAGTCGCACTTATTAATCAAAATATGTTATTATTATCATAATATTAATTTATTATTACTTAATTTTTTTTTTTTTTTTTATGTTATTTGATCTTTTACGTGACTGTTGCTGTGTATGCATTACATTTATATAATATGATATTATATTAAATACATTGTAATACGGGCTTATTAAATCCAGAGGGGTTATACGAGTTCAAAATTTTTTTCAAACAATTTCTCTTCTAAAATGTGATGAATATTTTAATTTATCAGTTGCAGTTTTCGTTTGCAAATACTATATATAACTATTAGGTGTACTTATGTACCTAATGCTCAGTGTGAATATTGTCTTTGATTTATGCTACAACACCGAATGATACTATACATTTCAAACAGTAAACGTCAATATTCTTTGATAATTTATTGTTATTTGTTTGAATCTTAACAAAAAATAATTGATTTACATAATCAAAATTTGAATTTAAACCATTCTTCAAACCTATTAGTCTACAATAATGCTCAATAAGTAATGGTTAATATTTTTAAGTATGTAATATATACTATGTACACATCGTATTACTTACTTACTGATTTTTCTCTGCCCAATGGCATGATAATAATAACATGTATGCAAGGAACAAACCGATGATATATACAAACAGCAATTATCGTGATATAGACTTTTAATCCAATCAGAATGACTAACAAATTGACAATACAAACTAATAATAAAAAATTGCTTTTTTTTATTAAATGCTCTGTTATCAAAAATAGATTACAATGTTTATCATAATAATATTACTAACAACCATCCAAACCATTTATCGTTTATTTTCTAAATTCACTTAAACCGATCTGTACCTACACTGTATTCGGGTTCCGCAGGTCCATCGGTTATATCTATAGTTGCCGTTCAATGTAATATCTAATTAAATCCGTTATAATTACCTTACTTATTTATTTGTTTTGATATAAGATTATCATTATAACTTTTATTAAAGACTTCAATTCATTTTTGGTTTTTATGCATTTCAATAATTAAATAAACGAATATCATGACGTATGACAACATGTACCGCGCTGGTAAATATGAATTATGATTAACGGATATTATAATATTGTATTCTAATGTAATAGATTTGTGTCGGTATGAATCTTTGAAAAAATATTAATTTTAAAAATGAATGTCATGTTCCAACATTTATGTATAGAAACATAATTTAAACATATTAAAAATAATTATGTGCATGCTTAAATAAGTAATTTATTTAATATTCTATAGATTTTTAAAATCACAAGAAATTAATTTTTTTTTTTTTTTAATTATTTATATATTTATATTGTATTTTAAAAATATTATTAGCTGGTTTTAAGTTAGTTTTAAAATTAAAGACTAATAATTATTATCTCAATTATATTAAATTCAATTTGTCAACTACTGCAATAGTTATTAATAATCATTAATCATAAATCACTTAAAATATTTTAGGTGCATACATGATGAAATAAATCTTGACAACGCGTTATGGTAAAATATTTATATGACCAGGTACTATTAACGCGGTAAAAAGAATATTTAAAAAAAATGTATTTTTGTACTGTGTTATGTATTATTTATATAGTATTAACCACCTATATGACTATTATAAAATACGTTAAAAATATAAACGCAAAATTTATATTGCAAAAATATTATTGCATATTTAATAATTAAACAAGTTGTAGTTGGTTGTCAATTATAATTACAATTCATAGTCGAATGGGCATTATTTACATAAACGGAATCAAACAGTGTGTTAATAACTTTGTCTAAAATAATAAACCATAAACAATTATAAATAAAAAAATAAATATTTTTATTTAATTTCTGATTAAAATATTATATTAAATTGTTGTCATGTTTATTTTAATTTGAACAATCTGTGTAAAGTATTTTTACAATAATAATTACAGTAGATATGGAGGGGAACATAAGAGGACTTGGATGGTTGAATCGAAGAAACTATTCAATAATAGATTATAATAAATATTCTAATAATATGTATAGAATGTGACGTCAATAATGAATAGCATACTATTTTTTTTTTTATTCAAACTTCTTCAGTGTAATTTCTCATTTAAAATTTAGGAACTCAAAACTTAGGAAATTTACGGGGAAAGCAACTGCCTATCGGGGAGGTGAAATGGGTAGTTTCCGTTTCTAGCCACTAAAATCTAAAAGTATACCTTTCCTTTTTTCACAAAATGAGATATTGATCACATTTAAAAGATGTAATACAGTAAGTTTATTTAATAGACTATAAATTTACAAAATACTGAAAGACATTAAAAGTACCTACATACACTTTGATAAAATTACATAATTATATCATAAAAATAATTAAGCAATAATAATACCGGTACCCTTGAAGTAATATAACATAATACAAAAATTAATTTTCTTTTAAAAAGATTATTTATTCAAACTAGGAGTAAGTAACCATCGTTTTATTAATTAGATATTCGATTGTACTTTCGATGACATTTATCATTTAATCTCATGTTCTAAGAATATCTAAAATTAAATTTTTAATTCAATAATTAATAATCATTATAATATTACCAGTGACAATATAAAATATGTAATAGTTCATTTGTAATCCAGAAACATTAAATGTTATGTTTTCGATTTAATATCACATATTTACATTTGTGTCAGTAAATATTAAACACACAGAGATCATTTTTTTTTTCAAAAGCGGTGTATCCGTTGCTTAAAAAAATAAATATAACTATTTGTTTAATATTTTGTTATTGCTATGTGTTGACTTTGTTAACGCAAGACAAAGGAATGTCCATCAAGTGACTTGATTATTCAAAAACAGTGAAAATATCCCATATTGTTTGATTATTTTTATCATTTTATTATTATTATTGTTATTATTATTATTATTATTATTATTATTATTACAGGGTTTAGACCACATAATATGTGTTATGGGTCTGGGACAGAACACCCTTTTGAAATATTAAAGCTTACAATGTTATATAACAAAGACATTATCGCTGACATAATTTTAATGTAATAGGTATTATAATACATCTCATTTTTTTTTCTTGCTTTATTAATCGTCAAAGGTAATGACAGTAACAAACACACAACATAATAAAGTAAATACATAATTATGGATGATAAAAACCCCACCACAATATATGAACATAAACTAAACACACAATATACTGTTAATAATAATGATAATAAATATTTTCTTTGCTTAGCAGTAATAAAAATGAATAATACACTTAATATTTTAATAATTCATAACATAGTTTAATTACTAGCTAAAATAAAATTTATTAAACAAATACAATTTTTTATTTTTTTTGAACCCTATATTTTTATACAATAAAAAAAACTTAGTTTTTTTTTAGTTATATAGTATTTTAAGATATACCATGTTTTTTGTTTTTAAATACTATAATAATTATTAAGTTATCATTTTTTTTTTTTTTTTTTTTTTTTTTTTTTATCAATAATTTAAATGAATTTATTATTTACAATTTTGTATACTATGCACTGAAAATTTTTCATTTAATTGTAATCCAATTATTAGATAACTGTTATACAATTTGGTAATTTTTATCCTAGAAATTATAAAATATTTAGATTTCAGGTTGAGTGTTATATTTATAAATAATTAATTATATTACATTTTTTCTGGATATATATTTTTATTTTTTAAAGTAAAATTGTTTAATAATTAATATTTTGGTTTGAATATATAATTATTTACTTGAAGTTAAACTAGGTTTGTGGTAAATCATATTTAATATAGTGGTCTATGCTATCTGTCTATTATGTGTTATAAATGTTATTATAGATAAGCATAGTTTTTTGTTATTACTAGGGCTAGGATTTATATGAAACAATTTATTTTTTTTTTGCAACTTTTGATTATTACTTTTGTAAGTAATATCCACGAATCACCTCATGATGAGATAAACAGTGGTGATTTTATTTTGCATATTTTTGCATATTTTGAACAAAATGCATACTATTGCATAATTCGACTATAAAAACGCGAAAAATGCATATTTTGTGGTATATTTCGTTACTAGACATTTTTTATCATACGACAGTATGTATACTGACGCTGTTTCAAAATGCCTATTTAAGGTATACCCATATTAAGGTCTAACAGAAGACTGTCCAGTTTTGAAAATTTAAAACACCATATTGTAATAATTGTTTTGTGTAATACATTTGAATACCACGAATAATTAAAAGTATTATTTAATCAATTTTAAACTGTTTGATTTTTTTTTTTAAGTGTATATTTCATATTAATTGCATATTTTTGAATATTTTTTATAAACCAAATGCATATTTTACAATTTTTCATTGCATATAAATCCTAGTCCTAATTATTATATACTATGTAATATTATTATGTATTATTATGAAGGAAACCATTCGAAGCTTGATTTCTGTACCTAATCATTGATCATCAATACTTTTTACTTCTTAGTCCTACCTCGTATAATTAATATAATTCATAATATTTATAGCGAGTGTTGGAGCATAATACGACAATATATCTTGTGACAATTTTCTCACTGTCGCAGTTTGGTGAATCGCATAAACTCCGTTAATGTAACAAGTATTAGCATTTTCTGACATTTTTCTGTATATTAAATCTATTTGTATGTATCCCTGACCTATGGATTTTGTTTTAAATATTTTATTGAATTAATGTACACCTATTGCGATTGCTGTTAAGCGGACAATCCGAAACGTTGTTTTAAGTCAAACATATTAATTCGGGACGATTTCAATCACAATAATATAGACATAGATTTAAAATATATAGTTTAGCAATATTTTTAGTTTCCAGTGTGGATATAAACCGTATTGAGGTCTTTGTTACTCAACATTATCTTTTATGTTTTAAAATTAATAATTATTATTTTAATAACGCGGATTAGATTTAAAAAATAAATAACAAATATAATTTTGCTACAACAAGCTATGTGTAATTTATTCTTCTATTTGTAGTTCAATGTGATAAACTAATTTTTTCCAAAGACATTGCATATTATATTATAAAATAATTATTATAATAATACTACTAGTAGTTATCAACTTAAAAACCGATGATATAAATGATCAGACTAAAATATAAGTTACTAAAAATCCAAATGGCATTAATTTCTAAAAACAAATTTCTAAATAAATATATTTCATACATAACAATAATTACAGTGAATAACATTTGAAAATAATAATATACTTTATTAAATTATATATTTATATAATCGTAGTCATGTTGTGAATTGTGTAAAAAGTATTATCTACTCGTAATTATTTTACTTTTTTTTTAAATTAATCCTTGGCAAAGTTCGTTGGGATTTACAAAAGAACTTTACAGTATTCTCAAATAATATACAATAGAGGATTATAAATCTTGTATAATAATTAATTAATTAATTAATTTTACAGTTTATTTATTAGTTTTAACGAGAATATGAAGTCGACTATTAATAATTTGGTTGAGTCAATGGAATTTCTAAGTAATAGATTAGCCTTTTCCCGAACTCCTTGTAAGTGAAACATTCCATTGACCATTAGTACATGTTTAATAGTTAGTTGGACTCTGAATAAAAGGCAAATTAGTAAGTTTTCTTTGTTCATAAGGAAGCTGTGTGGTATTGTGAATAGTTAATACGTTTATTGCTACCTTAAGTTTTCTTATCATATCCAGTGGATGTGATATCCATTGAATTGCTTTTAATATTGAGAAAACTTCAGCAATGAAGATTGACCATGAATTAGGAAGTCTATACTATTGTACACAGTGTATTAATAGATTGTTGTGGCCCCAATTCCAGTGGTTCTTTGATGCGTCTGTATACATTTTTCGTCACTGTTTTCATAAATTAAAGCGAGAAAATTTTGCTTAAACACGATATGAGAATTAGAGATTCTTTTGAGGACAAAAATTCAGTATTTGTATTTTAAAAAGAAGACTCCGAGAGAAGGCTGTACTTACATGACTAAGCTATTTTACTTAATTTAATGAAATTAATTATATTTGTACGATTTA